CTGATAAAATAACAATCCTTTGAATTGAACAGCCACAGCAAAGTGACTGTGATAGTTCATAGGTACTGAAATGCAACCTTTCCCCTCGTTTATGTTATTGAAGGGAAGCTGATGCAGTTCAAACCTAGATTTTTCCTCCATCTGGTCAGTGTCAGAGTTTTCTTTAGAAGTCAATGTGATGTCATTCTGATTGAAAAGCCTGCAGTTGCTTTTGCCTAGATAACAGTGGGAGGTAGCAGATAAGGAATTTTCTAGAATTTGTAGGACACTTACACGTTGATAAAAAAAAAAAGCTTTAAAAACTTTAAATCCAGGATACGATCCTTGATGGTTTTCCCTTATAACAAACAAATTGAGCTTCAGGACTAATTTAAAAGAAATTCTTCAAATAACTCTAATTTTAATCTTTAAAAAAAGATGTTGCTGTTGTTTGTATTTAATTATCTCAGGAGATGTATGTTAAGTTTCTGTTTTCCCCATTACAGTATATTGAAATTCACCAATTAAACATCACATAGGAATATTGGGGCCGGATTTTGTTCCATTTTAACCTTTTTAAACTATATTCCAATGCATTATCAGCTTTATAGAGTTAATTATAAAGTCTTCAGTTCTTATTTAAAATCAAAACTAAAGACATTTTTGAAAAAAATATAAAAGAAAAAACAAAACACATCATAGTAATACAAACCCAAATGTCAATGACCAGCAAGAAAAAAAAGAGTAATTGTTTTAGAGAATGGAACACAAAGCAGGAAAGGTCAAATTTTTTTATAGCAGTAAACAAACTTAGTGAAACATAATGTGCGTTTTGTTTAGCTTTGCATTTATTAAGCACATTTGCAGACCAGATGCTGTGTAGTGAATAAATTGGTCCTTATACTCTGCATTTTTACATCCACCCAGTAACATTCCCAAGACTTTCCTCTCAAGGCTCATATGACTGTCACCACACCCAGCACACTACGTCACCGTATGTGTTTTTTGTGTGAATGCAAATATACAGGTTTTTTAGCATTCATTAGATTAAAGGAATCTGTCATATGAACAACAGGACACTTCGTTATTAAATACTTTTTCAAAATACAAGTCCACATACTCATTTTCTGGGAAAATACATGACAAATGTTTGCGTTTAATGATTTTTTGTCTTGTTTACCTAACTATGCATATAAGTAAGTTATAGGTAAGTAAATGATTAGCTGGAGGGCATAATGAATTGTTGCCCTTTGACAGATTACTCCTAACATTTATCAGCATATTTTTTTTCCACTCTAAAATGCATTGTTTAATCTAAACATGCCTTCATCGATTTGTTTTATTTTTTGAATATTTAAAGTTGTTCTTTTTAATGTTTTATGTTTAACTATCCATATGAGTTGCATTCACATGTCCAAAATTGACACTACTCCTGCAATTTTTTTTTTCAACCAAGAAACCCCAGGACAAATATTGCTTGTCTTCCAAAAGAAGCAATGTTTGGTTGAGGATGTGTCAGCGCAGGGCGGATAAATCCTCAACCTGCTTCTCAACCCCTCCAGATTTTATTAACCACCTAGTCTCTTCTGACAGAGGAGGTACCTGCTAGTACCTGGAGGTTCCCTGTGAAACTGCTTTTGTGGTGTATATATATATATATATATATATATATATAAACATATATAGAGTACAAATATATTTCGGTATTATTTAAACAACCATTAAATGTGTTTGTGGGAAAGCATACGCTAGTAAATTAGACAACAGTATTAAGCCAAAAAAAAGATGTTGGTCAAAACATTGATTTTCATTTCTCTCAGAAAAACACACCAGTAGTTATCCTAGCAAACTTATCTTAGACCTATAGCATTTTGAAGCCAAACTTGTAAAATGAAAATAAATAAATAAAAAAACACTCACTGTCAAAAGTTTTAATGAAAGGCTGAGTCAAGTTTTTGGGAATAAGTTTTATAGGGGCATTAAGCGTTTATTTTCCATACATCGAAGAAGGTCTGCCAGTCTCGTACTGGAACTGGAAGAGAAACTTGGTGTGGGCTATTAGTGTTTTTAGTTTTGCATGTAACGGTTGTTTTACATGTTAATATAATCTTGAGAGTGTCAGCTGCTGAAAAAAGTTAAATAGAAATATGTATGCATTTAAATTAAAACATTTTCTTTCTATGAATATTTCCAACTATATCATATAATGTTTTTGAATAAAAAAAATCTATACAAAGATCTGTATTAGTCAAAAAGAAAATAGATAATCAGCATACTCTACAAATGAAATATTTTTTTACACACATTTTCAGATATGTTAAACATTTCTAAACTAACTTGCATCATTTTTTGCATCACATCTGACTTAACTTCTTTACAATTGATCCGCAGTCCTAGAGGCAAGGAAAGGCATTAGTGATAAAACTATAATCTAGTCCAAAATCCTCCTCCACTTTGGTATATGACAGCAACTTATTTCCATGCTGCTATTTCCTGTTATAGCTGCTTCGTAATCGAGGCAAAGTCCACTGGGATTCCAGGGTTGTATCTATGATCCCCACTTGATACCCCAGTCTTCCCCTTCATGCCTTATGTGCCAGACATGTTTCCATGCCACAAGTTGTGCAACTGAGAGCTGTCCACACATAAACTGAGTACTAGGTAGACTATTTACAGCATTGTGTGTCCATGGAAACTTGCAAGGATAAAGGATGACGCAGACTTTGAGAGGTGATACAAAATATGGGGTGTGTTCTGTCATTCAGGAATGTATTTTTTAAGCACTGTATTTTTCCAATTTTACTGTAGGCTATAAGGCATATTCCTCACTGTCCCATTAATATAGTAACACCCCTTTAACTTTTAAAACATTGTGTAAAATTACTACAAGTTCAGTTCACTTTGATATCATTATTTCTTCTTTTTTTTTTTTGTTCTTTTCAACAAAAATTTTAAAAGTCTGTACATTCCTCTAACTACAAGGGATGAGGGACCTGCTTTTTACTGATTTTGTCTTACATATTTTTGAACTGCATTCTGGCTCGTTGTCAAATGTTTCTTTTTTGTTTTTACGGGGATCACCTGTTGTATGTCAGAAATATATATTTTTTTAAAGTCTTTAAAATTACTGAACGATACTACGAGAAATCCCAAAGTAGTAGCTTTGTTCAGAGGACGCCATAGTTGATAAAAAAAGTCTTACAAATCTGATGTAAAAGTAGCTGTTCGTACAGACAAATATTCACTCAGATCAAAGATAATAGAAATAGTATCCTGCAGGGGAAATTGTTCAGCAACAGGCTAGCTGTTGTAATTTCATGGGAGTAGAGATAGAATTAAATTTTGGGAAATTTTGTGGGAAAACCTGGTAGAGGCACCATTTAGCAACCTATCCGACTGAGCCGGAGCAACTTTATAAACAAAAGTGTGCTGAAGCTTGAGGCTAGATGTTTATACGTAATAGAGGTATAACCCAAAACAATTAAAGTTGCAATTGCAACAAAATATAGTGCTATAAAGGAGGGATTTCCAACCGGGGGTACTCGTAACTCAAGTGGTCTGCAAGTGCATAGCAAAGTGTACATGAAAATATTCTATTTATTAGGTGGTAAAATAAAATAGGGCTGGGATCTGTTTTGCTTTCTGAGGAGCTAATTGAAAAAGTTTTTTAAACCAAAAAGTAAGTTTTTCTTCTGAGTTCTGAGTTCACCTTCAGCTTTGACACACATGAAAACCAGGCCGAGGAACAGACTGGTTGTAGAGAACAGCCTGGGATTAGCTGTTTTTCACAATGAGTTAATGGAGCTCATCAAAGCATAAGGAAAGGATTTTTTTTTATCTATGAAGTACATTACAGAGGAAATCATAATCTTTGATCATCAGTTCCTGATTATTACCTTCAATAACTTTAAAAATTAACTGAGTTCAAATACAAACTTTAATTGATTGAATTTAAAAGTTGCTTTTAATCTGACCTTTCTAGTCCGCTTCTTTGAAAACAACACTTAATACACCCTCAGCTCATGTGTAAGGAACATTTTCACAGTATCGGTTAACTGCTGGCAAACAAGCGGGAAACAGGAGTCGAGCAGAAAAGGCCAAACCAGTATCTGTATCTGTAGACTAATGTGTTCTTAAGCACAGTTAAAGTCTTGGTTCAAATTTACAAGGCTGAAGGACACAGAACTCCCTGAGGACAGTTCCAGAGAGGGTGCACTAAATGAACCGTGAGGCAGCTGAACCTTATATGTCTTCACTTACAGTTCAGTTTACTTAGTCTCTTAATTTATATAAATACATTTTTCTTCTGTGATTATTCAATTTTTGGAATTTTTGTATATGTGTGCATTTGTTTACATTTTGCTACATGTTGCTGGTGATGTTGGAATCTTTAGATTTAAGTCCTAACTGCTGTTGTCTAAATTAGTTTTACCATATGATAATTACAATTCTAATCAAATATTACAGCAAAGCCTTAATTTCTATGAATTAAAATGATCAAATTCACATAAATATAAGGAGTATTTTCTAAATCTTTAAAATAATAATGCTGTAATAGTTGTGTCTACCAGAATATTGCTAAAAGGACATTTCTGGTTGACCCGGGTAAACAAGCATAAACTATAGATTATCAGACTGATACAGGCCGCTGAATAAAAACAGCTGTTTCAAAAAAGTACTACTTTTTTTCGCTCTTACAACTGATGTTTCCTTCTTTGACACGCAGACTGAGCCAGAGCCGTTTGGATTCTGTCAGAGCTGATGACAGAAACCTTTTCACATTGGTTGTAACACTCAGAGCTCAGGTTCTGTTGTGATTCACTGCAACCACATTTCTTTATTTCTTTGTTTGAAACCTCCAATAACATCTGAACCCTCTACATTGTGATTACCATAGATGTCACTGAATACTTTGATAGAGTATGGGAAATTTTACCCACAGAGGTAAAAAAAAAAAAAAAAATTACAGGAAAGGAAATGCAGTCCACATACTTTCTTCTTTCTTTCTCCTTCGTTTCCAGGTCAAGCGTTGCTAAACCTCCTCCAGTGGCACCAAAGGTAATGTACAATTATTTTGCAAAAACAAAAAAAATCCAATACACAACAACACAATGTGATTCATAAAAAAGTTTTGAGAAAAATATGTGACATTTGTCTACTGTACTATTTATTTAGAGCACAGATTTTCTGTTATTTGTTATTATAAAGGAAGGGAATATTCATTAATACAGTATAACTAACTGTTTTAAAATGATTGAGTTGAATATAGTGCCTTGAATCTGTCTTTAAGACCATTTCCCTTCTGAAACAATGCCATACACAGTTTCTGTTGCATGTTCTTACTCATCAACATTTTTATTTGATGCACACCATGGTTGATCAACATTGATGAACACTGATTGTTTCCTAAAAGCCATGCATAAGAATTTTAGTCAGCCAATATGAATACAATATTAAAAAAGAACGTCATGCTATTTTTTTTAATTGGTCAAGCAAATATGGGAACCATCAGTGTTTTAGCTTTGTATTAATTTTTTTTGTGTGTGTGTGTATTTGCATGTTCTTCTGTTATGTTGGTAGGACAACCGAACAGACCTCATAAAACCAGTAGCCATCACCCATCCATCTGTTCCACAACGTCCACAGTCTCAGTGCTTTGCCCTACAGAACAAGCCCCCCAAACCTTATGGGTGTTTCAGATCTGAGGGCGCATATTCTCCTTTACAGTCACCTTTCACCACCGTCATCCCCTCCCCATCCTCTGCCTTCACTCCTGCCTCATCCCTCGTTAGTTCCCCCCACCCTCATCCCCCTTCTCCTCCTTTGGTCTCTTACCCATCCTCTGCATCCTCTTCCTCCTCCCCCCCTGTGCTGGTCCCACCTCAGCCATCAGTGTATAACACACCAATCAACCTCTACTCCACTGAGAATGCGTGTGAGGTGGCAATGGGGCAAAGGCGGGGCCTGTTGGAGAGTCAGGGAGGAGCCTTACTGCAGTTCAACGGGTGAGTGGTAGACTTGCTAACTAATCAAATGAATGCCTCCATTCTTGACATCATTTTCTATAGCTTTCTTCCTAGGACTTAGACTCTCCGCTTAGTTACCTTCCTAATTGTATCACATAAATTCTAGAAAGTCACCTTTGAGATTGAAACTCTCTTTTTGAGGGAGCCCTGATGGAAATTAAAAAAATGGAAAACATAAATAAACAAAAACATTTAAAGCATTTTAAAAAACATCATGTGTAAACATTATAAAGAAACAAAACTGCAAGGACTAATTGGAAAAATGAAAACAGTTGAAACTCACATCAGACAGAATTAAAAACCCTGAAGAAGGTATCTCTAAGAACATCAATCTAGCTTGAAAATCACATCAAGCTTTCAAGATGCAAAACATATTGCCAAATGGTTGCTGTAGTTGGAGCTTTGTAAGCAAAAGCCTTTTTTTCTACTCTGTGCCAACATTTGGGACAGAGAGCAATTACCATTCATTTGCTTGATGCTCATTTGGGTAATCATTTCACACAAATTGCATGAAAAACGAGCTCGAATTGCCTCATGTATAAAAGTGAAAAGGAAAGTGCCATTTTACAAAAATAGGTTATTATACAACGCTTCATGTTTCCATACATTTATAGCTCTCTCTTTTACTATCCTGGTCGGGTATGGTTGTTAAGGGTTGCATTAGAGAAATGGGTGCCATTTATTCATCTTAACTCCAAATAGTTTTCGATTTTTCAGAGGTTCTACAGCAGAGTTGAAGCATTCTAAGGTAACAACTTAATAATAAAGATAAGCATAGATCCACCTTCAGATAATACAGTCATTATATTTCTGTACCCTTTTTTTACTGGGTCTGTTTGTAATCATTAGATTTCATTTTCCCTCCACTATCCTTCCTGTTGCTCTCTATGTCAACATAAATCTCATTATTATCCAACTCTCCTGTCTTAGGAGAGAAATTAGTGGCCTTCTTAAATGCCTGCTCCCCCATCTCTCGGAGCATAGTGAATATAACTATGCTGTTATATATTTAAGCTGGATATATATAGCCTGTATACAGTAGGGAGCTTAAGCTGAGGGCTATTATCTGTCAAATCGTTCTGTCTACAAAGATTCCAGTTTAAAATCCATGTAGAGTTATATTTATGCTAAGCTTCATCAAGAACGTATTCCACTAGACTGTTTCTAACAGAGATCTGTAAGTTTTGGATCAAGGAGCTGTCTTTTTCTGAACAAAGCAGCTACAAAATGTACTGTAAGCTTACCCCATATAGCTAAAAGGGGGGCGGGGTTGAGGGGGTGAGATCCTGCATTCCACTTTGCTTAATTTGACAAATGACTTTAATTACCCTTTTAAATCATCGAAATGACCAAAGCTGAAATTTAAACCTGATCTTTCTTTGCCATCTGTTTGTACATCTGTTTCTTTGCTCTTTTTCAGTCATCTTACAAAAAAGTGTGCTGTAGGTCTTTGATTTAGTTAGTTTTCATTTTAAGGGCAGAATGTCTTTTAACAAATCAATACCTAAGATAATTAGTGTTGGTTTTCAATATTAAAATTATTCCCCAGAGGATTTTTCTGCTATTCTTTTCCTATTTAATCATAGGACATTCACTCTAGTCTGTGGATTAGTCCTCTTTATATGTTGCTGGACTGACATAAACAAACTGGTGTTTAGAACAGCATGCTGATATAATTTTCCCTTTGCTTGCCTGCTTGTTTGCATGCCATGTAGGATTTGTTTCAGAAGGGAGTTATCAACAAAATATTTTAGTGCTAAAACTGATAATGACTGTTTCACCTTCATGTATCTGTGTTTTCTATTCATTTCAATCCTTGTTTCTCTGCTTTGCAGAACACGTCTCGTCCAGTCACAAAGTTAGTGTCTGAGGCATGTTGAGTGTTTGGTCTGGTGTTTTCAACTGATACTTTTGAATCTCACAGTCTTTGCAAACTTTATTTCACTCCTACTATCATCTTTTTCTTTTCACTATTACAGTTTGGTATTCTTTTTTCGTTAGTGACTTTAGTGTTTTTCTATTTTTGTTTTGGGTTATTTTCAGGTTTGGTTCAACAGATAGGATAATGAGCTTTTGATAATAAACATATTTCTCTAAGCTTCACCCAAATCACTCTGCTGTTGCTTATCTGCATGTCCAGTGCATAAATCAAAGTCCTTTTGCAGTTACTGCTACATAAGTTAACTTTTAAATTACATTAAAATCAGAAATGGGAACCTTCTTTCTTTAGCATTTAAAAAGTGTTCATTCGTCTTAATGCATATTCATTAATAATATGGTTAATTTGGGTTAAGTTGGGTTTATCTTTCCAAAATCTTTTATTATCTGCAGTGAAAGATTTGCATTGCAGTTCACATACTTGTAAAAGTAAGTAGAAATGCACTAAGAGAGCTCAAACCTCCGCAAAGTATTTCTTTTCCTCAGACCAATTGTGACTTCCACCTTAAGTAAATACATGGATTCACAGAATCTTTCATAAAAAATTCTTGGATCCAGATGGTGATCTGGCTCATTACCAAAACTTAATGGATTGTTCCTTGGAATTAATTTATATCTTTTCAAGTTATCCTGTACACAGATGTACAGACACACAGACAGACACACACAAACTCTCCTAAACAAAAAAAGAAACTCCTTAGCAGAGGTAACAACAGCAACCCCTTTAAAGTCATTATTATTAGTATAAGTATTATTAAGTCCAAGCTAGAGACAGACCGATGCATTAGTCGGCCAATATCTTAGGCTGACATTATTGTTTTTTCCTGCATCAGCATGGGACGATATGTGCATGCATCCGATTCATTAGCGCATTCAACAGCCACACTTTGAGATCATGTGTAACACATGCAATGCTGCTCCCTCAATTTGCTAGTTGTTTGTAATATATTATTTATTTATTCTTATTATAGCGACAGTGGAGAGAAAAAAAAACCTTCTGTTTAACAGGAAGAAACCTCCAGCAGAACCAGGCTTTGTGTGAGTGGCCATCTCTTGAGGCCAACTGGTACCAAGGAGACAGAAGCAGAGATACAGAAAGAAGCAGAGATGCATAAACATTTTATTTTATTTGTTATTCAATATTTATTTTTGTTTTAATTTAATACAACATGTACTTAATTTAACAGTACATGTACAAAAATATGTTTTCCACAGCTGTACCAATTCACATAAAATAATAATAACATTTATTACAATGGATGTAAGTTAAATTTTCCATTCACTCAGGGCAAACAAAATGCAGAACCTGCAGTAATTCAGGCAGGGTGTAAATCTTTAGCATGCTCCATTTTCTTAATGCAGCATTGCCATCTGTACTCTGTTAATAAACGTTAGTAGCCTAGCATATATTGCTGCTACTGTAACAGGAAAGTGTTGAGACTCATAAATTAAGCAGGCAGATAGTAAGGGGTTGTACATTTATAAAATATTGATCAAGACAAGACCATGGAAAATAGTGCCTTGGTGGGTGTCAATGTGTCATTTTTTTTCTGGGAGCTGATTTACTGACAGAGTTTATGACATATCACTAGCTTGTTGCCAAGCAAGACTTTAACTGTACATACACATTAGCAAACACAGAACATGTTTGTATTTTAGTTTGCTTTGCACCAAAGCTGAAAAAGTCTCCCTCTGAAACTGAATTGCAGTTCCATACATGTGGACTTAAACAGCTCAAAAGCACCACCATGTGGTTGATAGTCAGACCTAAATGTTGCTGCTTTACAACAATGTTTTTTTTTTTTTCATTTTTGCTGTTCTTATCAGGAGTAGATCATATCATATCATGCCTTTTTACTTCTCTGTTGGTTCCTTTTTAATGATTACACCCAAAAAAAAAAAAAAAATCCCCATAATTTAATAATTTTGTATTTCCTTTTCCTTTTTCTTTGCACCATTAGTGGTCCTCAAAATGTTTTGAAGTAAGTCTTAACAAAATTTGTTTGGTTTTGCTTAAAATATTAGAATGCAGCTGTTTTAAAGTCCCCTTTCTTTAATTTAACCCTATCTTGCAATGTCCTGCATCTTGATTTCCAAGAAAACCCCATCAGCTGCTACCAAGGTAACATGCTGATTTAGATTCTCCCACTATTTAACATAGTGTGGTGTGGCCCAGAGTCTAATTAGTGCAGTTTCATCTCATTTAGTCATCTAACTTACTCATTTTATCTCATTATGGAGTGCTTGATAATATTTAAGTAACAAACCTGCAAAAACTGCAACAATTAAGATATGAATCAAGATAAAGCGATGCTTTCTGGTCTGATCCATCTGTCATGTACCTCTCCTTCCTCAGAGTTCCCCGGAAACATGTTGTGGACACAGACATCCACTTTTACCATATTCCCTCTCACGCTGATGCCAGCAGAAAGCGTATAATGGAGGACACAGAGGATTGGCGCCCACGCACAGGAACCACCCAGTCCAGATCTTTTAGGATTCTGGCTCAGATCACAGGCACAGAGAACGGTAGGAAACAAACTCAAAGACTAATTTCACCATGTGTTCTGAAATTTAGAGAATAGTTATTTAAGGTGAATTGTTTGCCTTCTAGCTCAAAATGAGGAAGCTGATACATCAAAGAAGACAAAGTAAGTACATCTGAAGAAAAAAAAAAGTTAGAATTTCTCTTGATTTTTTTTTTTATGTATAAAAGGTTGATCACCTGTTGGTTTAAAGTGACGCTTAGTGTAATGTCTACGTTGCCTAATTCCTAATGGGTACACAACCAAGGAGAAATCACATCTGATCCCGAGTCCAAACCCAAATCCGCATTCAAACAGTATTTTCAAATAATTTGAAGCGTGACACTTTGTATGCTTTATTTTATCTTTGTTTATATTGATATCAGATTTGTCCTAATTAATGTGCTTTCCAATCAAAGTGTGCATTATCTGGGCTTTGCTTCTTGTGAAGTGTATCTGAAATCCTTCAAGAATTTTCCTTTGTGTGCTGCATGGTTTTTCTTACACATGTGGTTGAAAACCATGACTCTGCCATGGTTGTGTTGTCATATTAAATGATCTGTTGACTCTCCATGCCCTTGTTGGTTGGCCAGGGTAAATTACTGCAAGCATTTCTTTAAATTCTCAACGGGTTTTCCGCTGTGTGGCATTAACCATAAAACATATTTTTTGGCTGACTAATAGTTCTATGTTTTCTTAATATCTTTAATTATTCTGGTTGCATGCTTGGCCATGTTCATGTTCATCTTCTCTGCCTCTAAATGTTTCTTTCCTATCGTAAGCTTTTGTTGATAACTGTCTTGCCTTGTTTCCGGCGTGTGTCCTAATCCATCTCCTTGTAATTTTCTTTAGAATGGTTAGGCTCCTTTATTCCACTTTCATGATTCTTCTTTTGCTTTCTTCTCTTCTTTCTCTCCTTTTATTATTGTCTTTTTCGGATGGCAGAGTGAACAAGAGCACCACTCGATTTGTGGTTGGACCCAAATACAACGAGCTGAGAGACTGGCACCATGGAGTGTCCGCTCGCACCCTAAATGTGCAGTAGACTCTGTGTGTGGATGTGTGTGTGTGTCTTGTGAATCTGTGAGTGTTAGTGATTGTATGCAGGTGTTAGGTGTTTACATCAAGCAGATTGTTATCAAGAAAAGGCTCATGGCCTGGTGATTCTAAAGGAAGTTGAAAACAAAGGAATATTAGGATGTGAGTTGGAAAAGTGCAATCTTATCTTTCATTTTTTGCATCTCGGTGGACTTTCAGTCTTTTCCACATCAATGAAATCCAAATCAAGTGGAAAGAACATGATCTTTTTCGATACACCATTACCCTATCACACAGCAGAAACAATGTAGAAAAATAAGTAAAAATTTCTTACATTAAGTGTATTTACCCTTAATTTGAGTAGGTAGATAAGATGAATTACCAATGAAATTAGTATTTTTACTCTTTAAATACAATAACTACTTAATATGCCCTTTTAATAAGAAAATGCAATTGTTTTTTTCTTAGTTTAAATGTAAGTTGCCTTCTTCTATTGGCAAAGTGTCTCATTTGCCTCTTCAATTTAAAAAAACACACTTATTTTAAGGAAAAATAACTTATTTAGAGTTCAAGTTTTTGCAATGCAGTTCTAGTGGCATAGGTATATAAAAAAAAAATTAAACAAATTATCCCCTAAAATCCCCTCTCTTCCTGATTTGATATCAAACTCATATTCTGCACAGGCTGCTATATAAATGATTCAACTACGGCGTAGTGTTGAGAGTAACAAAGTATTTTTGAATTTAGTCAATTCTTCTTTAGGTGGAAGGAGAAAAAAATTATTTCTGTCACACAAACCTGTTACACAAACTTAAGTGGGCGAGTTACCTCTTCAGTGTCAGGGAAACAGAATTTGCTGAAATTAACCTCCAGCATTATGGTATTAACAAATTAAACATAAAGTATATTTTCAAAATTCCCTGTTACTCAAAACAGAAATTTCACTGAAATGTTTTTTTTTTGGTTCAGTACTTTTTGTTGTTGTTGTTAATTTAAGGTTTCTTTTCCACTTTTTACTTTGTCAGTTTCTTTTAAACTACTGTCTATATGCATGTAAACATGGTCCTTCATTTATGCTAAGAAAGTTAAATGCATTAAAGAATGTCTAGTACAGTATGTTAAATTAAATGCTATAAGGATTTGAATACGACTTTTATTACATAACACTTTGCTGAGTGTGAATAAATAGATTTATAGTTTATCTACATTGAAACAAGAGACAACAGTGGGTGATGGTCCCTTCAAGGAAATAACTTCTCCTCATTTTACCTTTTCCTGGTTGATTCATGTAATAATTTTTAAAGAATTCCCACTGCTGTGTTTCTGTCTGTAAAATCTTTATTGTACTTTAAGACAGATGTAAGTACAGTAAGCATGTCAAACTTTTAGCCAGATGTAAAGTATTTTCAACAACTATATCAGCGTTATTTTTGCCTTTGTTCTACATGTGAAAATGACGTTATTATCTTGCAGTATAGATACTGTTGATCCCATGACTAAAGCTCTAGGACGAAACAGATGGAAAAGGTATATTGTTAGCTCTCCCCCTATTGCTCACAAATGCTTGTTTCTTTATAAAGTGCATTTGAATGATGCTTTCATGTACTCTGGAAAATATGTAAATAAATACAAAAGAACTGACATTGACGGATTTTTAAAAATAAATCCTTTTCACAGAAGTCATTTTTATTTCAGTTCTAAAGAATGAAAATCCTAGAGTTTGTAAGTAATTGATTCCACAAGATTATACTTCTTCAAGCACACCCAGTATCATTATTCTTTTATTGGATGAATGTCAGAGATAAAAACACAGTGCTCAAAATGAAAACAGTAAAGGCTTAAGTGTCATTACCTTATTAAGAAAAACAAACTTTTCCACTTTTCCACAATCGGTAAATAATTGAGAATGATCAATCAAAGAAACAAATCAAAATTGTTGCAAAACAATTCAGGGAATCTGTCTCCTTAACAATAATTAAAGTTTTCTGGTATACAGAGACATCAATTGTTTGATTTTCAGACAGGATTTTTAGGTTCTCTGAATAACTAAGTTACATTGGTGAAAATTTTTCTGTTCAAAAAGGTTTTAATGACCAAAAGCTTTTTTAAGCGATAAAGTTCACAAAAGGTCACAAATATAAACAGCAACCGTTTGAATTGTTTTGCATTAACAGTATACATATCTACTTAAAACAATATAAGTCATCCTGCTGAGTGAAACGAATCTTAATAGACCAGAGGTCACGGATTAGCGGACCAGGACCACCTGCTGGTTAATCCAGACTCAACCTGATTGAAAACATTTACGGTATAAATTACTGCTTGTTGTCCGATGACATTGTATAAATTCACTTGCGCTGCTTCTCCTATTTGTATGGTAAAGAGTCTGGAGTGTTCAGGACCAGGCTACACATGATACAAATTAGCCAATGAGCTGTGTCACTCTGGCTCACTGCTGCTTTTAGACACAGCAGGCAAACCTGTGGCAAGCCGGGCGATGGGAAAGAAGGAGAAGACAATGAGAAAAAGAGAGCAAAGAAAGTGTGGACTGCTGGAAGAACTGTGGTGAACTGGTGAAAAAAAGGTGAAATGGTGTGCTCAAAGATGACCCTGCACATTTTGACTTGTTTGGTTCAACCTACTGCTGTGAAGCAGGATTCTCCACCATGAACTTAATCAAAAATAAATATTGATCCAGGCTCAAGAATGAGCACCTTGATATGTGCTTGAGAATGGCTTTGTCACCATTCAAACCCAGGTTAAGAAAACGTGCAGGGCGGCATAAAGCCCACTGCTCTCATTAAGCCATAAAAAAGGAAGAAAGGAAAAAAAAATACAATTGTCTATATATATATATATATTGTCTATATACCAAACTGAAAGATTGTTGTTTTCTACTTCATTTTATTCTCATTTTATTTCAGTGTTAAATTCTGTTTAAAGTAACAGATTGTAATTAAAAATGTCTCTGGACCTTTACGGAACTTTTTCGGACTCCACTGATTTTTAATTGTTACCCCTGTTATAGACCATCTACAGTAGTTTTATACCTCAGTGAAGCAGACTCGTTGAAATTAATTTATATTCCAGTAATACATTCAAAGCATTAAATTTAATGTATTCATTTAATGCATTAAATCACACAGATATTCTGTATATTTTAAGAATTTATTTGTGGTTATTTTTGATGATTGATGCTGATTACAACTGAAAATTCACTCTGAGAAATTTAAATGTTGCCATTGGAATTTTTTATACACAAATATGGGCTCATTTAAAAGTATCTTCATGCACTATATAGTACATAGTTGTGGCCCGTGGCTCTGTTAAAGTATTAACACCTGATAGCTTTAATAGTAAGGGTCTGAGGTCTCTCATGGACAATATGCCATAGATTCCCCACGATAATCAGGGGGTGTGCAACAGAAACATTGAAATTTAATTGGTTGCTCTTAGTTAGGAATACTTCATTTATATGTGATATGTCTTAGTGAATGATGCCTAATCGAATCTGAACCTAAGAAACAATGAATTATTAATGGCAATAAAAGATTTCCCACTGAAGATATATTTTTTTAGAAGAACAAAAATGTAACTGTAAAACAGAAACTATCTGTAGATCAGACCTTTGTTCTAGCATAGAAAAAGACATTATCAAACTGATGTGTAAAACTCAAGGCCTACATGCCAAATCCAGCCCCTCGCAGCAATTTATAAACTTGATGGCGCTGAAGTGGCCTGGTAAAAGAATTTATCTGGTACCCCTGGTATAGAGTTTAGAAAATGAAAGTGTTAAGAGAGACTAAAAGTTATTTTTAAAGCTTGACCACCAAAATAACTTTAAATTCTTTGTTCTTTTTCAAAATCTGTCTGAAATTAAGAGATTTAATATGCGAACAGTGGTCTAAAGTGAAAAGAATAACCCTTTTTGGATTAAATATCACTTAAATAAAACAATCTGACCAATCAATAAATGTACATATAGATTAATCGACACAAAACAATCATTCAGATGTAGAGACTCTATTATATTGTCTAACAGGTAGATAAAAGTTTTAAAAATTGATCGTAAAAGAAGAGCAAACGGA